GGTAAAACTAGTGCCATTGGGTAAAACTCCAGCTGTTGCCTGAGGTCTTACTGTTGACAGTGAATTCTGCTACTGGGGAAATTTTTAGGCTCCGGTATATGGTTGCTAAGTAATCTCCAGTTTACTTCATTACTATATTTCAGTTCCCCAGCACCAGTTGGACAAAAGTGCACAATAATTACATTATTCCCTCTATGTTTCCATGGTTCTGTTTCCCGTCAGTGCAACAAGATTGTTGTTTCTGAAGTTTAGTTTAGCTGAAAATAAAAAAATTAGAATGGTAACATATTGTTGCTGGATTCCTCTTCCTGTTATCCTGAACAAAAAGAAGAAGAAAAACATGCTACCTCTTGCCTGTACTGGATGTTCAAACCTGGCAAAATTCAAATACCCTATTTTTAAGCTGTACAGACTGTCTTCGAAATTGTCAGACTAACGTGGGGGTCAATTATATTATTCAAATGCAAATTCCTGAAAAGTAATTAAGTAACAGTTCACTTTTTTTAAAAACAACAAAAAGTTTCTTTCTGCAAGGACCTCTGGCCTGCCCATTCACAGTGGTGCCTCACACAACGATTGTTTCATACAATGATGAATTCACACAGCGATGGGTTTCTTTGAGGAATTTCCCCCATTGTTTAACGATGTTCTCTATGGGGGAATTTCACTTAACGATGTCCCTTTTTCGCTCCTGTAAAAGTGTCTTAAACTGTTAGAAACCTGTTTTAAATGCTTGCAATCGTTAGCCCACCTCCTGAACCCTATGCAAACTTAATTTGGTGTTGTTCTGAGTCGTTGGTAATTTTTGGTGATTTTCTAAATTCTCCATTGAAAGCCTTTGAATGGTCCGTTCAAAGGCTTTCAATGGAGAATTTAAAAATTCACCAAAAATTAACGACGACTCAGAACAACACCAAATTAAGGTTGCATAGGGTTCAGGAGGTGGGTTAACAATTGCAAGCATTTAAAACAGGTTCCAAACATTGTAAGACACTTAAAAATGAGCGAAAACGGACATCGGAAAGGACTTCAAAAGCACTGAAGCCGGCTTGGATGAGTAGTGAAATGTTTCAACCTAACAAGAAAGAAGTCCATTTGCCACAACTCAACTTTCCAGATTTCTTCCTGATGATCAGTGAGACCATAAGTAACTTCTGCTTTGATAAACCACAACTAACTTTAGTATCTAGCAGCACAAGCAGGGATATTTTCTCTGTATTTATATTTCACTATCAAAGAGTACTGCAGAGATAGTGGGGGCTATCAACTTTTGTGTCCAGAATAAGGACAAGCAGATCTTCTCTTGGGTATTACACACAAAGAGAGCAAATCAAAAAGAAAAGAGAGAAGACTTCCTCTTCATTGGCTGTGCTAATGTTGAATCATGTTTCATTATACAGTATTTATTAGTAGTCATTGCTTACATTGCTGGAAGTGGTTATGAATGGCTTCCTTATTTTACAAAGGGTAAGGTCAAGTGGCTAGTGGTAGCAGGATTGTCTGACAAACCTAAATGTAAGATTTACAAAGCTGTCATCAGGTTAAGCTTCAGTATCTTGAAGAAAACAGCATCACTAAGGCGGAATTTGGAGGAAGGATTATAGGAACTTTTTTTGGCCTTGCTTCCTGGTAGGTCTTTACTTCTCATAGATGAGTGCTGCAGAAGAAAGTTACTTTCTTGGTATAATTGCATTCACAGGTGGATCATGCCCTGCTATACCTGGCATTGAAGTGTGTTAGTTGCCCTTTAACATAAGCTGCAGTCCTGTTTGATTAGTTGTTCCAAATGAGTTGGTTCATTTCCAGTCCTTTGCTACCCTTCCTGATGCAACAGCTGCTTATACAAGGCTATGCATACAGAGCCTGGCCTGTGGGATTGGGATGGGGAAAGTGCATGCACAAAACAGTTCTGCTCATGCATAGGGATGTGTACGAATGCATGGAAGGTTTGTGCTTGTGTAAATGTGTTCTCTGGCTAGATTGGGATGAATAACAGCTATTGAAGCAGTTGCAACAATTTATTTTTATTATAGTATTGATAGATGGAATCAGCATGAAAGTATATTGTCTTGGATGATGGTTCTTCTGAACTGATATATGACAAGTGCAGGGAAATGTGTGGCCCTTGAGATGTTGTTGTTGGATTGCATCTCCTGTCAGCCTTAGGCACACCAATGGTGCAGAGGGCTGAAAGTTGAAGTCCAGCAATATTTAGAGAGCCATGTTTTCCCCAGTATAGTGAGGAGAAAACAATGAGGCCGCAAGAGAAATGGAAAAGGCTTCTGCACTTTGAATAGCTGTTTACATAATTTGTATTTGTAACCTGTTTTTAAACAGAAGGGTTTTAGTGAACAAGTAAACTCTATCTTCCCTCTACTGTTGTTGTTTCCTTAAAATAAGCAGCCATAATGAGAATTATACAGAAATAGCAGCTGAAAGCTTTATATGATTGTTATTGTGGTTTTTTAAAACAGGTTCTACATGACAGTGGAGTATTTGAGTACACCTGGAAGGAACTTGAACTGTGGCTTGAACATTTAGACAACACAGTAGAATTCAAAAAGGAACCAGTGATTCAGTTTTTGGAAAGGGTAATGAAAGTGCAAATTAGTCATAATGACTATGCCAGGAATAGCATTCTTGGAAGCCTATTACCATGTTGTTGTTGTAGAGCAAGATGTTTTCAAAAACTCATGAATGAATTCTGAGAATTTGCATCTGCTAGGCATGGGAAGGAGAACAAAAGGAAATGAGACGAGATAGGAAAAAGCTTTTGTTAGAGATTTCCACTTCAGAGGGTGGTGTTGACAAAAAGATGAGGCTGTCGTTCACCATCACTTTTATATAACTGTGTTATAATACAAAAATTAACAAGAACATAGAAAGGAAAAGTATCTTATGCACACCTTACTTACCAAGTGACATTTTTGGTTTGTATGCTGCTTCCTTTCTCTTATAAAAACAGTACTTAAGCTTTGCCTTCAAGAAAAACACATTGTGCTCTAGAAAGATGAATTTGGAACCTGACTGATTTAAAGTGGAGAAGGGTCTTATTGTTAATAATACTAATCCTTGTTTTTCAGAATTCTTGTTCATTCCTGTCAGAATCAGAATAAATGAAAACAGTCAGACAAATCAGATGTTATCTTCATTCACAATACAAGATATTCTAGAATATATTGTTGTGGAAGGAGATGTGAGAATTGCTTTTCATTCTGTTGTGTATACATTTTAATAAAATTTAGAACCAATAGGACAAAGAGCAATGATTATTTTGCCTGTCTAATGATTAGAATTGATGGAGTTTTGGCCAGATAGGTGGGAGAAAATCAAGACTTTATCAAATACTATATGGGCAATTAGAATGTTAAGATGCTAAAGTATTTTTTGTTGTCACTTGTACTAATTTTTATAGAAATGTATCCTGCTGTTAACTGCAAAATCACTCAAAGCATTTATTGGTCTATTGTTGTCAGAACTACCAATTGTACTAGCTCAGAAGAGTCCAAAAAAATGTGGAAATTTCCAGAAGGATAGCTGTCTCAAGTGATTTAAAAATATGTGCTGTGTGGTGAATGAGAGGTAGAATGTGCGATGTAATGGAAACAGGAAAAAAACAGCAACCTAGCAGCCTGGTGTTAATCTTAAGAGTGGTTTTGGGAATCATTTAATAATCCTTAGGGAGATGACAAGTACAGGTCTTAACAGTTGCAGTTTTCATAACGAAATGGTTTTCCAGAAAGCTGATACACTTTTTGATACTTCCATTAAAGGATTATATATGGGCCGTGCATGCATACAGCGTTCTAGAGGATTTGATCCCATAGCTGTAATGTTGAGAAAGTATATGTAGAAGCTGGGGAAAATACTGCATGCACTTCTTGAGCTTTAGTATGCCATCACAGCCAGCCGTTCTCCTTAGCAGCAAAATTTTCTGTAGTAAGTGCAGATCAGATTCAACACTGCATTCAGCATTGCACTCTTGCATGGCCTTGTTGTCCAGTTTTGACACTTACTGCTACTTCTCTCTTCATTACATTTGCTCACTTGTGATGAATGTTATTTTCTTTTCCAGGTCTTGGTAAAACTGGTGACCAACCCCTATCCATTCACAGACAAGGCAGCAGATCTTGTTCAGGAAGCTAGCATTCTCCAGGTCAACTTGTCTAAACAAGATCTTGATAATATCAGCATTCCAGTCTCTCACATTGATGGTATGCTCTGTGGTTTAGAAGCTGTTGTGCAGATATTTCACTGGAGTATTTGAACTCCCTTGAACCAGGAAAACTGGCCACTAGCATGTTCTAAAAACATGTGGTGGTTATTAATTAGTTCACTTCCTGATAGCAAATCAGAGTTTTGCTGTAGTCATTGAAATAAAGGGTAGCGGTCCAAACAAAATAAAATAGTTTTGCATTTGCTGTAGTCAGTTAACATACCATATGACCAGGGTCCATGATCTTTGTTGTGACATCTGCATGGAGCCAGTGAGTCTGCCTATCAGTTGCCAACGCTGTTATTTAGAAATTGTAGACCACCATCAAATAATTACTACAGGAAACATTACCATTTTATAGATCCCAGGTACAGTACTTTTTTTAATGAAAAAGAGATACCTCAAAATATACCTTTCGTGTTTTCACCTTGCTGTAATGCTGCTTGATGTTTTTAAATGACAGCTTAAATGACCTGGTTTTTCAGAATAAGCCATAAAGCACAAATAACAGAGTAAGCAATGTTTTATTGCAAAATGTTGCAAGGAAAAATTATTCACTTGTTTTTAAGAGCTTTGCATTATTGACTGGCAAACAGTCCATCATCGTTTGGAAAAAGTTTTCTTTATACTACAATTCCCAGTAACTTTTTTAAAACTTTATGTCTGGTGGCCATGTTTGCTATAGAAGTGTATGAATGGACACTGCAAACTATTTTAGTATTTTCTCTTACATAAACTTAAAGTTTGAAAACTTTATCTTATATATGTCTTGGTGGTTCTTTTTTTGAGAAGAGGGTCTCTAGAAACAATCATCTTCCTAGGCTGAGCCTTCCTCTTTTTAAACTAGATGTTCTGGATATGATTGATGTCCTTGTGGAAGGTAATGAAAGCTTAAATGAAGAAATTGGACCTGCCTTGAATGAAGACATGATTGGGAGCATTTTTCCATTCAGTCCTGTCATCCCAGCTTCTTTAGAAGCCAGGAATAAGCTGCTGCTTGAGGATAATGACAACGTGGATGGTATTTTCTTCCTATAGTTATTGTTTAATGTTTTAATTCTTAATAATATTGGTAAAGCTTCTCTGTGTGTCTTAGTGGGGAAAACAAGTTCTACTCAATTATGGAAAAAGATTTTTATGCATCAGGTTGAAATGTTCTTATGCTGATTTTTTGCCTATTCACTTTTCAAAAATTACTTGCACTTTTGAAAATTCTCTCTCTCTCTCTCTCTCTCTCTCTCTCTCTCTCTCTCTCTCTCTCTCTTTGTATGTATATAAATAGATATGCAATATATATTCACCAAAATTCTGATGCTTAACATAGTAAATCACACTAGAGTACAATCAATAGAGATTTGGTGAGTCACCTCCTCTGTAAATTCCATTGATTCAAATGGGTCCACTCTAACTGCAACTTACTTTAGCATAATAAGTCACAGTTAGAGTAGGCCCATTTGAATTAATGGAACTTACAGAGTTGACTCACTAAATCCCATTGGCTGTAAGTCAGCCAGTGAGTTTTATGGCCCACAATTTTGTTATAAAAATCATAAATCAATGATAGGTCAATATGTTTATTATGCAGTAAGACAGTGGAACTAGTTATCTCAAGAGATGGTGAGTGCTCCAACACTGGAGGCATTAAAGAGAAACTTAGATAATTACCTGCCATATATCCTTTGATTTATATTCCTGCCTCGAGCAGGGGGTTGGACTTGATGGCTTCATAAACCCCTTCCAAGTTTACTGTTCTATGACCCTCCAAAATATTACAAAATAGTGAGCTAGGTTCTCAGTTTTCCAAAAAAGTTAAGCAAAACCAGGGGAGGGGAGGTAACTAGCATGATGTTAAAACAATAACATCTCTTGTCCATTATTTTATATATTTACTTGAGTTGGTGGCATAACAGTTGCCCGGGGAAAATAGGAAGCTGCCTTATGCTGCATCAGACCTAGAGTCTATAAAACTCAGGCAATCCAAGGTTTCAGACAGAGGTCTTTCCCAGGGTTATGTGGAAATTCTAGGGATTGAACCTGGGACCATATAAATGCAAAGCATTCCATTATCTTATTGAGCTGCCTTGGCTTTCTCCATTTTCCTTGCTCTGTCTGTAATATCTGCTTATAAAGTGATACTTGACAGTTTGGTTCTGTTCTTACAGTTCTTACACCGACAAGATAGCTTTAAATTTTTGCCTGAAGTGGTACAGTGCAACTTTCACCATTGCTTGGTTTGATTACACCAACTTTTCAAGAGCTGCTGCTGCAGTCAATCTAGTTGAAAGCAATGCTGTGCAAGTACCTTTCTAGCTGGGTCAGTTATGTAGGAAAAAACGAAGTAGGATTAAAAATTGGACTTTAAGATTTTAGCTATGTGGATTCTGTACATGATCCTGTTATCAAGGGCCTCCATGTCTTGACGTGAAGATGTGCATAACTCCCTCACACTCTTCACCTAAATTGAACACTGTATTTTTTCCTGTAAGAACATGAATGATAAAAAATAATATGCTATGGATAAAGGGACAGCTGAAGTATTAGAGAATATGCCTCTTAGCAGCATGGGTACTAGATGGCTTCCATGTGCCATCTTATCATTTGGCAGCAACACTGGGAGAGATTTCTGAAGTGCTGATGAGTTGGGGGGGCCCTCAGAATTAAAGAGTACTTAGATTTGTCAAAATGTTTGTGCCCAGTTTAACGTTCCTCCCTTGCTGTTCCTGCTCATTTCCAGTTACAGTACATATAGCACACTAGATTTATTTCAATAGGAAATTGTTATCCTCCAAGAAAGGAGATAATCTGTTCTATACTTGAGTAGGGGTTTAATACTTGGCTTTGAAGACTTCTTTGAATAAGAAGTTACAAGGGCTGGCCTTTTTAAGAGTGTCTTTTTATTTTTACAGGAGAAACCATAGTGGAATATCTCATCGCTGTTTTCACAGACATCTTGCATTCCCAAAGAGACCCATTAGCCCTCTGTTTGATGTTTCAGCTCTATGATAAAGAACTCCATTTGGTCTGTCCACAGCTTTGTGAGTTCAATCAGTATTACTGTCTTTGGATACCAAAGCAAGCTAAGGAAGTATTGGTAAGTAAGACAACAAGGACACCACACTGCAAAATGAAGCATGAGTTAATGTTAATTCACATTTTAATATAACATACCAGGGAACAGCACAAAGTCCAACTATATTGCCTACTTGCTTGGATATATTATTATTCAGGAGAAGTCAGGTACCCAAGTACTCCAGGTCTGTTGTAATTTCTCTGATTACCAAATTGTCTAATGTTAGGACTGTGTCTCCCTCAGTGGACCAATTACTGGTCAGTGTACTCAGTGGAATGCTGCTATATGCAAAGCCCATACATGTTATGTCTTTTCAGGAATCCTAATAGGCTTTTTGAGGTATGTGATGTGTTTGTGGAGTGGTTTGCCATTCCTGGCCCCCTGTGGGTTTCCATGACTAAGTGGGAATTTGAACCCATCTCTCCAGAGTCCTAGTCGGACACTGTACCAGCTACCATGAAGTACTTACATATTATAGCACAAAAAGCTGGCTAGATTGAATCAACTTTTCTTTTAAAAACTTCCTGCAACTGGACTCTCTGATTGTGGAATCTTCAGCTTATTTTAGTATTTATACCCTCATTTAAAATAATACTCAAAAGTTACTTTAAAAACATGAAATACAATATAAACCAGAAAACTTATATTTATAATTCTTCTCAAAAAGAAAAAAATAATTTCCATCTAAAGGTAAAAGTTATGGTTAAAGTCAAATTGCACAAGGCACAGAAAGTAGGAGCAGAGACAATTTCCCCTACTCAAAACATGACCATCCTTAACTTCCACATCAAGTAAACACAACAACCTAATCTCTCTAGCCACCTATTGCTTGTACATCTTTTATTATTTATTTTATTTATTTAAAATATTTAAAATATTCATTAAAAGACAATGTTTAAAGCTACGAACAATAAATACAGAATTTTCTTTTAAATGCCACTCTGAGAAATGGAAAACACAAAAATGGAAAACACTAGTAGTACTAAAAATCCAGTCAAAGCAGTAATGGGTAACAATCCATCTAAAAATCACACACAGGTAGCTAGTTACTGAGGGAAGGCTTGCTTGAAGAGAAAGGTCTTTACCTGCTTGTAGGAAGACAGCAAAGATGGGGCAGTCTGGCCTCCTGTGGTAGGGAGTTCCAAAGTCTTGGAGCAGCAACAAAGAAAGTCCTTTCCTGTGTCCCCATCAGAGTACCTATGAAAGTAGCAGGACTGAGAGAAAGGCCTCTCCTGACGATCTTAACACCTGAGCCAGCTCATAATGGGAGATACAGTCTTTGAGGTAGCTTGGACCCAGGTCATTGTATTTATTTATTTATTATTTGATTTGATTTGATTTGATTTGATTTATACCCCACCCATCTAGACCGAAGTCTACTCTGGGCAGCTAACAATAAAAAATGGAATAAAAACAATATAATAAAGCAAAAAACAACAATAGTAATGTGGCACAAGATGGGAAAAATAAAAAAAATTCAAGTGATGACAGGAGGGAAAGCCATGTAGGGCTTTTGTGATGTGGAAGAGCTGGAATGAAACATGGATTTTGATAATATCTTTAATTTATAAACAGCAGATTTGCAGCACCTTTTAGTTACATAACCTTTATTAGTCCTGTTATTTTATATTTGAAGATAGGGTTTGGGTTTAATGGGCTTTGTCCATAGTAAGTAAAAGGTTCTACCTCCCCTTTAGGATATGAAAAACTGGAGTACATGCCTTGTGTTTATTTGGAATGGAAATTAAGTTACAAGGAGGATGGATTCTTATTCCCACCTTATGAATGAAGGTGTCGTGGGGGGTTTGGTTAGTCTGTGGTCTGGATTTCCTCATTTTTGGGAGTAGGTTTCATCTATAGTTTTACTCTTTAAAATAAAATATTTTGGTTTTCTCTTTGGAGCATTTTCCTGCTTTTTAAAATATACTGATATGTTGGGAATATAAATTCTGTCCTACTCTTTTAAGTAAGAGTTTTTTAAAAGGCACTTTATAAATAAAAAAGCAAAGTAGCAACATAGCATTTTATATTCGTTATACATTCGTTTTACAAAGCAAAGCTGTCCCCAACCAGTTCTAGCTGGATTGTTAAGGAAACTGCACCCACTCACAAAGGAGAGGGAATTACCATGTGAACCTGTCCTTTAAAAAAATAGTTCCTGCATACTGAGAGATATTACTCATAAATCGGCACCTGTAGAATGCTGGTGTGCTGCTTAAAGTGCCCCCTGTCCTGAATACACATTTAGGATCCAGAAGTGTTCCATCAAAAGCTGATCCTGTGGAGTGTAGAAAAGCATATTTTTCATACCATTGCATGCATTCTTAATTATCTATTTCGTTGAAGGACACAAATAGAGCTTTCAAGCTTTCAGGTGGTAGAAGGACTGAAAAGTATAACTACACCATTTGCGACTAAAAGCCATAATACAAACGTTGCCAAAAACACACAAAAATACTGTGTTCTTCCCCATTAGTTTCTCTATGGAAATCTGTCATCAGCCATAACTATGCAGTGGCTACTAGAACCATTATATAAATTCCTTATGATTACAATAATGATTAAACAGCAAGAAGTGAAAGGAACAGAAGTCTCAAGAAAAGAACAGAGAATTCTTTAAGGGCAACCTTTAGAATAAATGTTTTTACTTCATGGCAAATTGTGGCAGAGAGATTTTGAATGTCCTCAGGGGAGGGTGTTCCATAATTTTGGAACCATCACTGAGGTGAATTCACTAGGAGCCAGCATTGGAAGGCTAGTACCTTGACTTCATGCCTTGTTGCCTTTCTGGTCTTAATTAGTTCTCTCATTAATTCATAGGTGCATCATGATTCTTCCTTAATTATTTATAATGGTGTGTTGTTTCTTAAACAGTTCCATCCGGGCAGAAGAAAGTGTGTAGAGGAATTCCCATCTTTGGATTCCTCGTTTTCCTGCCTGCTGAAGAATGCTTATCAGAAAGGTGTTGCTGTTCTGTTGGAAAAGAGTGTTAAAGAGAAGCTAGACGAAGCCATTTATCAGCTCCAGCCTCAGCCACTCTTGTTAGCTGCAAAGCAAGTTCTGCTATACTTAAAAACCACAGTGGAAAATTTCAGCAGTGTAAGACATTTTTTCCCTCTCTTTCCATCTTTTTCTAGCTAATCTGTATTTATTCCTAGCAAAACTAGCCAGATTCATAGAGGCTGGAATGTCATTGAGTTCAACACATAGAAGCCTTCAAGCATAGTTATATACCTATCAGAGTTGTATTGTGTGTCCCTGTTCTGAGCACAGGAACAGGCATCAGGTCCATGAGGCATGCCATGGCCATTAGGCACTGTTTCAGCACCTCTGATGTCTTCCCATTCCATGTAGGCAATGCAGGCTCGCTCATGTAAGGGAAGGATAATTCTATAAATTTGTCCCTCTGCCCTGGTATCTTACTGCATTGATAAAGGATGTTCTCTTTTGCCTTTTTTTTCTTTTTGGGGGGAGTCCAATTCCCTGAATTCTCTAAAATACCCTAGACAGAGATCCAGCCCACAAGCACATATCTACAGATACCTCCATTTTACTCATCTAGAGCAGGTCCTACCTTGAGACTGCATGAGCTTCTGAGGCTTTGACTTCCTGTTAATAGGAAAGGAAAGAAGGAAGGAAAGGAATTGCCATGCTTGCTTATATGGGAAACTACTGGAGAATTGTAGGAGTGGGAATGCTAATCTGGTATTGATTGGAAAGCTGTGTACTGATATTAATTGTAAAGTTATGTACTGGTTAGAGAAGCCTCCTACCTGTTGGTTGAAAATGGTATTGTAGGTTTCAAACAAGTTCATGTTAAAATTAATTAACATATTTTGAAGGAACAAATGATCCTCAAATCCATAGTTTTACAGTCTTCTTAATATTCAACTCAAGTATCAATTTTTACAGGTTCATGGTCTTGGATCTATGGCTTAAATTCTCATTCTTTTTTGATGTGGGAGACAGAATTCATAGGGAAATAAATCTTACAGGTGCCACAGCTCTTTTGCTGTTGTGCAACTCCATGAATGGTGATTATATCACCATTAATCTTTATTTTATTTAAATTTTAAATTTTCTAAACTCCCCTTCAGGTTCTGAGATTCCCTAGGGATCCCTTTTGCCCTGGGGAAGGCTTTAGGAACCTCAGGACAGAATGTGCCTTTAATATCAGATAAGGGGAAGCCTTTAATACTGGAAAATCATGATAGATTGCTGCTGGCAGTCATGATCCAATGACAGAACTGCTGCTGTCAGTTGTCTGATATTAAATGTCCACCTCACCCCATCCTAGGGCTCCAAGAGCCTTCTCTAGGGCAAAAGGCTTCCTAGGAAGTGTCAGAAGTTGAAGCGAGGGATAGGATGTTTTCAATTAAATAACATTTCATTGCATTAAAGATTAACATTGTGAGATGATAACGTTATCCGATATACATAGCAGAGTTGCACCTATGGAATTGAGCCTTTTGTTTTCAGTTTTGTTATAAGTTCTCTTTTATTGTTTTATTGGTACATGCACCTGAAAATTGTGCCTAGTCCTCCATCAACAGCATGATAAACAGTATTGGAATCACACATTTATTCTATTTATATGTATTGCCATTTTAAGTATATGAACAAAATATCAAGTGGGTACTTGTAAAACAATGGCTAGTATGCTGTTCAGTATTCATGAGCACATATCTCCAGTTATAGTATTTCTTGCAGTGATCTAACAAGGTCATCTACCTGGTGGCATGCAAGTAGCACCTCGTCTGATTGCTACTGCAGCTTCTAGCATTTGAATTCCACACCTGTATAGATCCTGAGCTGCTGTATACTGGCCAATATAGTGGAAAGATATTGTTTCCCTGCTCATTTTTTTCCTTAGTATTTTTCTTCTCCTAAAATGTGCGTCCTTTTTCAACAGTTTGCTCAAAACACTGGTCTTTCCCTTGTCACCCTCTTTGTCGATTTGTTGAAGAGCCTGTTGCGCAAAGGTGATGATACAGAATCATGTGAGCAGCAGGAACAGAAACATGCCCAAAGTGAATCTGATCTTTTTGTGGATGCAGTAGCTCTGAGCACAGCAGGAGCTGGAAATGACAAGGTATTTTAATACTTCTGTCTGGTTAATTGGCCCCTGGGGAGAGCAACATATTTCAGCGACTTCGCATAAGTGTTTTCATATACAAATACAGTATTTGGGTCCATTTTTAAAGAGAAAGGAAAGGTAAAAATATTTTCAATAAATGTCTATGATGCAACTGGTTGCACAACTGATTGTGCAGTCATGTGCTGCGAGTTTCTCTCCTTTTCCTCCAAAATGCAGAATAACACCATCGGACACTGGCCGTTGCTTCCATGCTCTGCAGAGTCTCCAAGGTTCCTGATTAGACACTGTGTGAAAGTGTATGCTCAGCTACATGTGGATCTCTTGTCTGATCCAGCAGGGCTCCTCTTAAATTATAGAATGGTGTCTTACTATAATCATCTCCATTTTCTAGGTAGCACAAGAGTTACTGTCTTTGGTTTTCAAACACCCTGTGCTGGAGAACTGGTTCCTAGCCATAGAACAACATGCTCTTCCCCCTCATAATTTAAGCCCACTTAAAGTCAAACTGCTCTCGGCTCACCTAAATCGTGGCATTCTTGAATTGCTGAAGATGAGCTGCCCATTGCTGCAAGTCAAGAACCAACTGGAGATGCTCTCCCGATATTTCAGAGCAATCACTAACACTGTCCTACAAGAACTACAAGCTGATACTGAAGAAGGAAACAAGAAGATACCTTTTGAAAGGTCACAGCCGATGGAGGCCCTGCAAGAACTGCACATTTACATGGATGCCCTACAGCTAAAAGAAGTCACGTTGGCTATGCTGCAGCATCCCAAGGCCAACCTGGCTGCCAAGAAATCGGAAGCACTTTCTGGGAAAGAAACTTGCCTCAGTGTTTATGGGGAGACTTTGATGCAACTTCTCACAGAAAGCTACCAAAGAGGATCCTTGAAGGGAGACCTCTTCCTTTCAAGAGAGCACATTCAAGGGATGGGTATTCTTTTGTGCACAGCAGACACAGAGGAACTGGAAAAGGTTTTCATGCACATAATACAGAAGGACCCTGTCTTTGCCCAGGCAGTGGGAGTGAACGTGCAGGTCTTCTGCCTTAATCGCTCCACAGCAGCTTCCCTCTCCATAGTCACTTGGTTGATTCAGAATTCACAGACTCACTTGCTCCAGTTTGAGCTCTGGTGTTTGAAGCACAGAGCTGGGAAGTTCCTGACAAAGACGGCTGGCCTTTTTCTGCCACTTGTCAATACATACTTGGACTGTCGAGAGCAGCACAGTTTCACACGCCTTTCAAAAGGTAAAAATAGCCAACTTACTCAGTACATGTCATGTTACGCTCTTGCTCTTCGCCCCCCCCAACCTGGAAATTTTAACTTTTTGTCTAGCAACTAAGAATATGCATTTGTAATTTTGCAGAGTAAAGTTATGAATGCTAGTAAATTAATGTGTGGAACAGTTAATGCTAACATTTCATGTGGTGTTAAACAAGCATAGCAGTTGATATCTCAGGTGTCTTTCACCCCAGCAAGCCATTTTTACTGTAAAAAAAAAATCTCTAAATCATCTTTATGAGATATCCTGCCATTTTAGGCTGGTGTGCAAGGCATTTTTAACCACAATCACTTTTCAGAGTTACTTAGTGTGAATGCTTATTTGATCACCCTTTCCTGGCAGCTTCTAGAAATATCTCATGTGAGTCCCATATGTGCGTTTTGGCTGGTAGTTTGACTCTTGTGTGGAGTATGAATTCGGTGTGTTATTACAAATTTTTTAGATTCCTGGTATGTGTTTCCTCATACTGGAGTATAGACCTATGAAATGATGACATGACAAAACTATCTCTTTGTCTGATTTACATTATTATTTACTGCAGTTTCTTTAGATGTGACAACTATCCTAAGAAAAGCACTATGTCCAGAACTTTTGGAATGTCTTCTGAATAAAAGTTCATTGCAGCCTTTGGCTATGGAGTGCCAAATTCTCTCCAAGTTACTGCCACCTTTAGAAACAGAGATGTTCATGAATCTCATAGAAAAATTACCTTTACTTCTTGAGAGAGAAGGAGGTCATGAATGGTAAGCCTACTTATTTTCTGAGTGCAAAGGAATGGAACTATTGTTGTTTCCCCCCACCCCACCCCTTTAGAAGCAGCAGAAGAATACCTTTTCTGAATTTCAAAATATAAATAAAAGTAAAAGTATCTGTTGGTTTCATCACCCCAATCACTCTCCTATTCTCCCTATGTTAATGAACTGAGTGGAATAATGAAAAAAAATCCATAAAATATTGCAGAATTGCAAAAGATAAAGGACAGAAAAGATATTCCTTGTTTTTCTTGGAGAAAGGGAAGCCAGAACTCTCATTAGAAGCAGAAATGATTAAACCAAGGCTATCATACTTTAGACATGTTATGAGAAGACAAGACTTACTGGAAAAGACAATAAGACTAGGAAAAGTGGAGGAGGATAGGAAAGTAGAAGGCAGTAGGAAAAGAAGAAAATCAAACATAATGTGGATTGACTCAGTAAAGCAAGCCACAGCCTTTAGTTTGCAAACCCAGAGCAAGGCTGTTAATTGCAGGACCTTATGGGGGACTCATTGATTCATAGGATTGTCATGTCAGGTAAATAATTACAAAATCAGTAAAAATGAAATGTTGTTTGTGGCAAAGGTGAGGACAACAGGGAGGGCTACGTTAATCAGTTTGCTCACTTCTCTTCCTGCTTGTGACATAATTTGCAGGCTGTGCCATGACAGTCAGCTTACACTTTTACCAATGAACCTTATTCTGTGAACACTCTTGCCACTAGCAAACACAAAGAATATGATCTCCATTAACAAGTGCATGCTGTCAGCTTTGAAGTATTTTTAATATATCTGATCTCTAGAATTTTAACAGTGTACTATCTCTCTCCAAGTAGCATCACAGAAGTAGTGCTACTTTAAATTAAAACATTGTTTGGTAACTGAGTATGCAAAATTTAGTAAAAGTGAGTTAAGCTTCAGAATTAACAGTTGCAGTCTGCTTTCTTGAGCACTGTTTTCTGTTATTGGTAAGAGTGTCAGCTCAAACAAAGTGAATGAACTCATATCAGTAAATTCTTGCTTGCCACTTACCAACTCCCTATCTTGTTTAACAGCAAGCTATTGTAGATACCTTGTGTGGTATACTGGATAGAGATCTGAGTTTGAATGCCCACTTAACCATGGAAACTCACAAGAGTGGGGCTGGAACTAATAAAATCACTCTTCAAATGTCTCACTTCAAAAGCACTATTAGGGCTGCTATAAATCAGTTCTGTCATATGTCGTGTGCTACCATTTCTGATCTGCACAGATCTTACTTTGCTAGCAAAACATAGTTGGTCTTCAAACTAGGATTGCAGACCATGATTTGAACTTGGGTTTCTATTCTAATTTGTGGACAAACAATACTTTGTGCTAATCATCATTTCCTTGATTTGGATATAGTTGTCAAACTGCTTTTAGCTGAAATCCAGAGTGTGTCAGAGAAGCAGGGAGAAGTTTTTTGGAGGTATTAAAACAATGCAACAAAAACTGTACCAAACGTGAGACTTAGGCCTTATCAAAAGATACTCTGACAGAATGGAGGGCTTTTTCTTTAAAGAAAAAAATGTAAAAGAAATTAAGAGAATAACTAATCCCTTTCTGATGAATATAACAGAGTGGTGGAATAATTACAGATATATATTCAGTCCACCTATTTCACCATTGCTATAAGTAGTGGAGGTCCAGAGTTTCCCCAAAACTCTTAAAAGTAAATTTAAAGAAGTATTAATGGAGAAAGAGATAAACACAATAAAGAGTTGGATGAAAAAGATAAAATATAAAAATACTATAAAGGAAACTTGTGGAAGAAGAGGGAATATCCTGGTTAAGCATACTCCAAATGGAAAGTTGGACTAGAGACTGGACCAGAAAAGGAGAGATTAGAAAATTGACACAATTTGAGGAGATTATTGAATGAAGACAAGATCAAGAAGAAGGAAGCAAAAGAAAGGGAACAGCGTACTTTATAAAGTTTTAGTACGTGCAGGATTGGAACACACGGCAAACCAGTGGCAGGAGGGCTTTGATGAAAAGATTAAAGGAGAGGATTGGAACAAGATATGGTCACAAAAAATAATGAAGAATATGTCTATAAGGGTAAAAGAAAATTGTTAATAAGGTAGCATGGAGATGGTATTTAACTCCAGCAAGATTGAACATAATAAAAGCATACAATCTCAATGCTGGAGTTGCACAAAGGCAAAAAGGACCTGTATGCATATGTGGTGGGCAAGTGAAATAAGAAAGAAAGAATTGGCAGTGTTTTTTAAAGAAATTAGAAAAATTATTGGATGCAATATTCAGATATCGCTAATTATTACCCTCCTGAACATAATTAATAATGCCCTTTTGAAAGGAGATCAGAAAGAATTAGTTGTTATAATGGTTACAGTAGCAAGATTAATAGTTGCAAAGAATTGGAAAAGCGACAAATCAATCTTGACATTTGGTATAAAGAAATGTGGAGTTTAGCAATTAACAATGAGTTAATGTCTGAAATGAAAATAAGAAGAGGAATGGTAAAGTCTAATGATTTCAAAGATGTATGGAATTTATACTTGGGAGTATGTATTTTCAAAGGGGAAAGGCTATATGCCAGCAAAAGAATCAGTGTATTTTTGAAGAGAAATGGTGTGAAAAGGGCTCCAAACTGATATTATTGGTCACAGTCCCAAGGGTGAAGATGGTATGGGTGGGAAAAGTTTAATGTGTATTGTGCGTCATCACCACTGAGTTTGTATTTTAGTTTTAATTTTGTTATTCATAATTTCCTTTTATTAATTAAAAAAAACTTGTCAAAAGAGTGATGAACCGGAGGAATCATCTGTGGTGGTCATGACTGCTGTGCCATTTGGCCTTCTTAGCTGGAAATTATATACAGTGTCCACAGCACCCTCTGTGGTGCAAAGCATATGAGACTGATACTATATCATTGTACGCTAGATGAATTATTTTGGAGGTAAAATGAGTAGTTAAGTATTTTCAGAGGTGAAATATGGCTCTCAGAGCTTGAAGATAACCTACATTGTCCCCTGATTTGGCTGATCTTCCAACTCCTTAAATTAAATCAGAAATGTTTCCTTTTCCTTTGGTTCAAGCTTAATTGTGGGTGCTGGCATTGATTCAACAGAACACACCAGTTCATCTTCATTGCTCTTTTCAAACAGCTGGGTGATTGCTGATGCTATATCGAAAGCTCTGGAGAGCTCAAAAGAGATGTTGCATTCATGGAAGAAATGCCTGCTAGCTGCCTGCATGAAATGGCTGATCCTTGCTTATAGCAGTAGCAGAGAACCGGAAACACACTCTGAAATTGAGAGCTCCATGCTGTCAAGACTAGAAAAATTACTAGTAAGGATTACAGTATCTTAACCCCGCTACAGTTTGTTGAGTGTCAGTCTGTATTAGAGAGTGATGTGTCAAGTACAGCAGATGCTGATGGCTACCAGTAATTTTTCCACAAAGGGAGGTGTATCTGCACAAGCTCTTCCTCCAAAAGAAAATCTTGTCGCAACTTAAAACGGGAAATTCTGTTTGGAGTATATTTTTATGGATTGTAGCCCACTTCTTCAGATTCATTTAGTAGCTCAGGATATTTGCCAAATAAAATTTTTCAATGTTTATGGTGTCACGAAGCTATTGTTTTTGCCACAATGGACTGCAGACTAAAATTACCCTCTTCTCTATATGTATTCTATTCTACAGTGTTCTTACAATTGAATTTTCATAGAATTATGTGGAGTCTCAGTGGTATCAGTGGTATTTGAGATCATTTTTGAAAATGTTTTCCCCCATTGCCCACTCACAACTGCTTGTTCCTGCCGCCATTGCACACCACTGTCCTCAGAAGCAAACAGAAGGTTCAGCTTCCCTTTCAGGAGCAAGGCCTGCTACTTCTGGGCATGCCCAAAAGCAGGAGCCAAGTCTGCCACTTTTGGGAACACTTGGAAATCTGGGCATGCCCAGAAGCAGGAGCCAGGCCTGCCACTTCTGGGCATATTTATAATTCTGAGCATGCCCCAAAGCAGCAGACCTGGCTCCTGGAAAGGAAACCAAGCCTGAAGCTTGCTTCTGAGGACAGAGGCATGAGGCAGTGGCAGCAGGACCAGGTAAGCACCAGGAGAAAGTGGAGGGACTTGACAAGGAAAAATGGTTCCAAGTCACAATTCAAGTGCAAGTCGTTGTGTGTGTGTGTGTGGGGGAAGTTGAATCCAAGTCAAGTTGCTGGTGCAAGACTTGACAAGGAAAAATAGTTCCAAGTCACAATTCAAGTGCAAGTCATTGTGCGTGGGGGGGGGGGAGTTGAATCCAAGTCAAGTTGCTGGTGCAACTTAAGTGAGACTCAACAATGAGTTTCAAGTCACAAGTCCCCATCCCTGCTTGTAAGAAAGTCCTTTGGATTTAATAGAATTTTGTTCTAAGAAAAAAAAGTGCTTTGCATGTATTGGAAGATGCATTCAGTGCTACAATTGGCATAGCACACATTTTGGGGAAATGCCAAACCATTTATGAAATTCAGTTTTCTTTATCCATGTTGGGGGGGGGTTTAAGTTGTTGTCTTTTATCAAATAGAAAAGGTGCAGAAGTTCTCAAAGCTTTATTTACCCCACCTCATCCTTACTCTGTGCTTGGTAGGGCTAGCGAGGGTTGCAGTCCAACGCCATCTGAACGGCCACACTTTCCTTGCCTCGGCTGCCATGTAATGGGGTGTTGTGTTGCTGTTTCCTATCTAGAACTCAGGAACTGAAGTAGCTCCAGAAGACTGGCAGGCTTTTGTGAAGGCAGGACTCAAGTAAGCACATTTATGTACACCTGTGATGCCTCAGATAATTTTCTCTTATAAACAGGGATGTATTAGGGCACAATTCTGCCACTTTCTAAATGCTCCCTCTTCGTACCGAAATCAGAATATTTGTTACAATGCAAGATATCTTCCTAAAGTACCTGGTATGTATTTAAGGTTCTTTCCTGCTTGGTATTACATGTGCAACAAGAGTGAGTTGTTGCATGGGTGAGGACACTGGAGTGCTGGTAAACTGTCACAGACAAAAATGGTCCATTTTCAGCCATCGAAACAAACAGCTTGTACTGTATTTCTTCCCCAAGAGTGGACCTTGCCAGGCTTTGGGATGTTTCAAGGAATCTCTTTAACTAAAGCTTTGTGGTATTAGCTTATATGACATGCTGTTTGAATGTGAAATTGTTGCACAACCAAAGTTCTTCTAACCTAATGGAGAATCTTAAGTTCAATATTTGTATTTTATGTAATCTTTATGGTGCCAGTCTCTTCGAGAGGCCTCATGTTACCTACCTTTCACCTCGGAAAGGGAATTCCTATTGCCTCTGTTTAACAATTAAAAAAAAAGAGGTTTCCCTTACCTATTCTCAGCCAGTGCCTCTGGTGCTAGCTTCTGGAAGCACCCTCTGAGAGCACTTCAATCTTCAACCCCTTTCCCTGCACAAGGAAGAGGAGAGAGCAGTGAAGCTTGATTTTGAGAAAAGCTCTACCTGCTGCTTTGGGCAGGAATCAGTGATTTCAGGGAGTACAGCCTTTGCTCCAACACTGTCTGGTCTACAAAGGACCAGAATCCCATTGTAGTTCCCTGTTCTCTTCCCTTATATCTTGGCTGCCGGGAAAAGTTTAAAAGTGACTGGGAAACACCCAATAACATCTTCGATCTGGGAGTTTCACAAGTGGGCACTGTGCTGCTATTTGTCTCTTCCTCTGGTTTATCTTTCCTTTCTAGCTGAGGAACCAGCCTTGTTTATGTTTGATTCTTGGCAGTATACTCCATAGGGCAATGTGCAAATTTACATTTAATGTGGTCACATACAGTAGTTTGATTTTGTTGTCCTTATCCAGTGTTAAACATGTTGGAAATAATGTGGAATAGTCATATCTTTTACTTATTGTCAATTGGCAGGGAAAAGGGTGTCATGCATATATATGTGTGTGTGTCTATGTGTGTGTATACAGTGGTGCCTCGCTTAGCGATGTTAATCGGTGCAGCAAAAATCACTGATAAGCAATTTCATCGCTAAGCGATTTTAAAAAGCCCATAGAAACGCATTAAAACGTGTTTAATGCATTCCTATGGGCTTACAAACTAGCCTTATGCGAAAATCCTCCATCGTGGCGGCCATTTTCAGTGCCTCTAAAGCGAGGCAAAACAGCGGGCGGCCATTTTGGAACCGCCGATCAGCTGGCCGAAAATGGGGGCTTTGCAATGATCGCTTCCCTGTGATCATTGCAAAGCGAAATTTACCCATTGGGGCCATCGCAAAGCGATCGCTCTTACGATGGAAAAAAGTCCATCGCAAAGCGATTTCATCGCTATACGGAGCAATCGCTATGCGAGGCACCACTGTATATATGTATGTATATATGTGTGTGTGTATGTGTGTGTGTGCGTGCACACACACACACACACACACATTCAGTTGTGTTGGACTACATCTCCCATCAGTAGAAGCAAGCAAGAAGTTTGACTCTGCTGGATGGAGATTGTGGAGGGTATAGTCTAGTATATCTGGAAGGCCTCTGGTTGAGGAAAGCTGACCTAAACTGCTTTTTGAACAATATGCTTAGCTACCACACAGGCCAAACCAACAGCTGAGGTATATATTTCCTTTTTTTATTACTAGTTTTACTTGCATGGTGCATAATTTGTATATGTCTTTTTAAATCTCTGTCATGCAGGTATCGTTACGGACACCAGGATTTCCTGAAAACTCTGAATGCAGCCATAAATCTGTTGTACCACAAAGAATCCTCTCTTAGTCAGAGATTAGTCAAACTTTCAGTTCTTTACATGATGATCACGCAGCACTCTTTATTTCTTTCAACAATGCTGAGGTCGCATGAAGACTGCGACACGAATATTCAAGCAAAAGGTTTTGCTTCCTTTCTCTTTTTCTCGTTTCCTTTAATGTCTATGTATAACTCAGGTGCCTTTCAAATATTGTTTATCATGGTTCCAGTTAACAAACCCACCTACACTTTTTCTGAGCTGCAGTATCTGGAAGACTATTATTTTACATTATATTTTCAAAATGTACTCCATTATGCTTTTCTCTGAATGTTCTTTTTTTCTAGCTCAGAAGCTATCTTTTAGTATAGATGTGAATGCCGGCTAAAATGCAGTACTTTGTCACAGCTAGAGGATGCCCATAGAATCTGTGGTGATTCGATGAGTCAAGACTTATGTCAAGAGTTGTCTTCCTGGTTGAGTTGGAGTGGCTAAATTAGGTCACTAGGAGGTCCACTACACCATTTGGTGTGATCCTCATATCTAGATTATATGTAGATGTCAAGGAACCATATTTGGTCTGCACCAGCCGCCTGTCAATTTGCCAGTATTGTGAGGTGGTTTAAGAAGAGAGCCACTTGAGGATATTGGCAAATTAAACACTTCCTTTGATCTATAGGGCTGAGGAAGTGAAAAAAATTAAGTGTATTAGATATGTGTATTACAAGTTAGGTACATGTATTAGGTAGGTGTATATCTAATAGACACATCTAATACACTTCACTTAAAGGTTTGATTGGGAGCCTGCCCACAACCTAGTACACATACTTAATATACACTTTTCTCTTAAAAGTATGGTTGACACCCTACCTACAACCAAACTGGGCAGCAGATTCAGCTGCAGGCAGTTTCTTGATTAGCCCTTTAAGACAAGGGAAAGAAAAGATTTAAAATATTTTTATAAGTGATGCAGCACATTTTTGCTGCCCTAATGGAGTCTTAAAAGTTCACTTATTCTGCTCTTCCGCAAAAGAAGTGTTTAATTAGCCAGTGTCCTGAAGCGGATCTCTTATTAAGCTACTTCACTATATTGGCAAATTAAAAGAGAAAGGATTTTGGTTCATTCCCTCCAATTGCATGCACTGGAAATAAACCAAAAGAGAGCAATCCTACTTGCACCAAAAAAAGTAGAAGCCCCTGACAAGGACCAGAGAGGTATGGGTAGGCCTGCCCTGTGGGTGGGCTGTTGGCTCCAGCAAAGACATTGTCTGATTGCCATCTTTACAAGTGAACCAGTCCATCTTTGCAGTGGACCATATAGCAGGCTAAATGCACATGTAGTCAGCCTTAAGTTCCATTGATTCTAGTGGCAACTTGCTACTGGATTTCAGCCACTGTGTTTCTTTATTTATATAAACAATTTGTATATATCCATTTCTGCTTTGTATTTTAACAGACCTAAAATAATCCACACATTTTGAATGACTTGAAGTGATAATGCAGTGACAGTAATGCTTGACAATCTCAGCTTTTGCCCTTCTTTTAAGTGAATAGCTAGTATTGGCTATAACAGAACTTCACTCTTATCCCAGCTAGAGCATGAGGCCAGCTGGTGCACATTGTTAGAAAGAGGTGACGTGGCAGAATTTAAGAAATATCAGAGTTGCCTAATTGGCCTCTAGAAGCATTAGCACAAGAACAAACACCCGTAGCTTACAGCTTTAACTGACTAGAAAGAGGAAGATCAACCCGGTTAACTTCTTCACAAAAGCTGAACAAGTGAAGTGTCATAAAATGTCTCAGTGCACTAATAATGTCCCTTTTCATTTTCTTATCAAGGTTCTATATGAACTAGAGGAAGTTTTGTGAATTGAAAGTGTCTGCTACTGTTGCTCCTTAAAATATCTCAGTGAAAATTATGGGTTATGGAATGTTAGTTGTAGTGTATTTTCTATTTTATTTTCAAAGATCTCTGTCCACTGGGTAGTTCCCCTGCATGGTTCGGCTGAAATTAATGGGACTTGTGCAGGAGAGCACAGCTGTGCTCTGGTGGTGCTTCATTAGCCTCAGAAGGCCTCCTGCTGAAGAACTTTGTCATAGTTTGCGTCCAGCATGGCAGTTGTAAGGATGTTCTGAAACAGCCTTAGTATTTTCAAATTACCACAGAGCAGAGAATATGTTTCTTTCTTTCTGCTTCAGAAGCGCTAGTGGATGTCCTGTTGACTGTGGTGAAAAGCTGCCCTGCCGTTTGTGAAAGCAGCCATTTTGCTGTATTGCTTGGAGCTTATGGTGCAACACTGAGTATTTCTGGTAAATGTATTTGCAAATGAATGTCTATAAAGCATTTTTTTAAAAATCTTAGATACAGGAAGGTTAAGCACATTTGCCATATATAGTTCATGAAAATTTAGCTGCAGTTCCTGAAAATATCTAGAAACTGAAGTGAAAGAAGTGTGCATTGGTGTTGCATGTACACTTAGGGATTTAAGTGCACCCTAAGTGCTTTTTGTTTTCATTCTCAGAACTAGAATTCTCAGAGGGAAAAGAAACACTCTCTTAGGAGAAAGGTGTAATTTGAAGCAAAGCATAGCAGTAATAGTAACCAAAGGGCTCCACATTGAGTGCCCTAGAGGGCGGGGGGGGGTATGAGGATTGTAACTGAATCAGGGAAAGGAGGAGCAAGAAAAGTATCCTGCCATTCATAATTGGCAGGATCCTGTTGCTATTCAGTGTTCAAAAGCGTTCTGCCTGTTTCTTAAGTAATGATTGCAGCTGCACAGAAGCCACTTGCTGTGTTCTTAGGCAGTGGCTTTCTTCAAAATGGGTGAATTTCCACTGAAGGTGTTCCAGGTGATAAAAGAAGCTGTGTTGAGTTTAAATTACAATAACTCTTTCAAAGATAAAAGTCCCCGTGCTTAATGTTGCAGTGATCAAGTGAAGGCATATGCTTATGTGAACTCCTCCTGAAGCTTAGAAATGTTGCCATGTTTATCTTTCTCTTTTTTTTAGATCAGAAGATATTGCTGCTGCTTAAATTGTATGAGAAGAATGGGCTAAGCCTTGTAAACTTCAGGTTAGTTGTTCATTAACAAGGCCACTGTCTCAGGCAGTTCATGTGTTTAATTTATCAATCTTCCCTTTACTGGATTATTGGCCTCGAGTCTTTTCACTTCACATTTGCTTACCTTTTACACAAAGGGAAGTTGCATAGGAATTGATATTCCTTAAGGAAGCTAGTGGTGCTAAGCAAAGGACGGCCATTTGACCTTTCTTCATATCCTCTTATGTATCCTTGTCATGCAGCAGTAGGAGATAGTTCCTGGGTTTGTTCATGTATCTGATACCTCATTCCAGGCTGCATTATACTGAAGGCACAGCAGTAGTTTACTGCATTAGTACCTTTCTTAATTCTACTGCTGCCACACAGGATGCTTAGTCCTTCCAAAATCCTCTGCTGCTGTCACTTCTGGTCAGGTCCACCAGCTGAAGATGCAGGGTACAAAGTGCACTAGGCTGCTGTCTCCCAACAACTTGGCAGTGATGGTAAATAATAGGCTTCCCTGGCCTCCAAAACCGGCGCAAGAACAAACTAAGTAATATTGCTCCTTGGCTGCCAGGAGGTGTGCTTGCCTTCTACTAGCCATGAAAGCAATCACTATTGGTTCCAGCATTTGTTTCCTTCTGGGAGCAGTCATGTTCTGTAGCTGATCCATGGCCTGATGTCACCCCATCTGTTTCACTGCTTAAGAGGCAGAATCCCTGAATACAACTGCCCTGCTGGGAGGAAGGGCTGGATTCAATGCTTTTCATGTTTTCAAGTCACAAGGCAGCCAAGAAAGTTGCACTGCTTGAATATTTTGGTTGCTTTACAGCTAGAGCAAGTGTGATGACAAAAGCTCAAAGACACTTGAGGGACATATCCTTAGACTTGGATATTTGCCCCAGTTGGTGGAATAAGGAACCAGAATCTTTGTTGTTATTGTTGTTTAGTCGTGTCCGACTCTTTGTGACCCCATGGACCAGAGCACGCCAGGCCCTCCTGTCTTTCACTGCCTCTCAGAGTTTGGTCCAACGCTGTTGGTCACATCAGTGACGCTGTCCAGCCATCTCATTCTCTGTTGTCCCTTTCTCTTCTTGCCCTCACACTTTCCCAACATCAGGGTCTTTTCCAGGGAGTCTTCTGTTCTCATGAGATGGCCAAAGTATTGGAGCCTCAGCTTCAGGATCTGTCCTTCCAGTGAGCACTCAGGGTTGATTTCCTTCAGAATGGATAGTTTTGGTCTCCTTGCAGTCCAGGGGACTCTCAAGAGTCTCCTCCACCACCACAATTCAAAAGCATCAATTATTTGGCAGTCGGCCTTCTTTATAGTCCAGCTCTCACTTCCATACATCACGACACGAAAAACCATAGCTTTGACTATGCAGACCTTTGTCGGCAAGATGATGTCGCTGCTTTTTAAGATGCTGTCTAGCTTTGTCATCGCTTTCCTGCAAAGAAGCAGGCGTCTTTTAATTTCGTTGCTGCTGTCACCATCTGCAGGGATCATGGAGCCCAAGAAAGTAAAATCTGTCACTGCCTCCTTATCTTCCCCTTCTGTTTGCCAGGAGGTGATGGGACCAGTGGCCATGATCTTAGTTTTTTTGATGTTGAGCTTCAGACTATTGTTTGTGCTCTCCTCTTTCGCCCTCATTAAGAGGTTCTTTAATTCCTCCTCACTTTCTGCCATCAGAGTGGTATCATCTGCATACCTGAGGTTGCTGATATTTCTTCCGGCAATCTTAATTCTGGCTTGGGATTCATCCAGTCCTGCCTTTTGCATGATGCATTCTGCATATAAGTTAAATAAGCATGGAGACAATATACAGCCTTGTCATACTCCTTTCCCAATTTTGAACCAATCAGT